CCACACCCAGCCCAGCTGTGTTTCAAGGCGGGTTCTTCGAAGACTGAACTCATGTCTTCGTGCTTGCAGGTCAGGCGTTTGCCCACCGAGCTCTCCGCGGCCCCCTCCCTCCTCTTCACGGTGTTATAGCCACGGCTGGCGTGTCCTAGGTAGCACTAATCACTACATCTCCCAACCACAGAAAGGGTTTAAAGCTCAGGGAAACAGAGCTAGTGAGAGCCTTCTAGCCAGGCAGCAGGAGCACAGGGTGTGGCCTACTCTTGTTACAGTGGTGACCTCTCTCACCTGCTGTGCACCAGGAACTTCCCTTCTCTTATCTTCGGTCTGGCTGGCCAGCAGGCTCTCCTTGCAGGCTCCCCTGAGTTCTGACATTCCTCAGGCCTAGGCACAGTTCTCTGCAATCCTGTGATCTGTCAGCCTTAGCAGCCACAATTCTAATTGCTTTGACCAGGGTTCACTCAACTGTCATATGGTCTGGCAGTCCCAGTTCAGGTCTAGAGAGCAGATATTAGGCACCCAGGAAAGCTCCCCCCCACCACTCCCAGCTGCCCCCATGCAGAGACACATAAAACTGCTGCCTGCCACTGGCCTCCATTTTCCCACCTCCTAGGTGGGAGCTAGGCAAAGCCAGCTTTCAGCAGACTTCTGGACTGAAATAGACACGGTATGAATGTTCACAGGAAAGACCCAGCCATGGAAATGGTTTGCCAGGGTACCAGAGTGATACTTGCCTCTCTATGTACCCTCCCCCTACCTCCCACCCCATGAAAGGCCTGGCTGTCCAGCTACAGCAGTTGGTGGAAATTACAAGTAAATGTTGCAGAACAAGCCACTCAGACACAGCTGAGCAGGTGTCCTGATCTCTCAGCTCTGCAAGGCAGCATCTGATGAGCACACATGCTGAACGGAGTGCAAGGCTCCTGAGGTGTCCTCCTCGCCACAAGGAACACAGCCCTCTTGTGCTGATGCAGGCTCACTGGTGGCCGTGGGTGACCCAGACCCACAGACTTAAGAATGAAGCCAAGAGACTGGCTCCAAAGCTGTATATGCACCACAGAAATGTGGGGTCTCTGAGTACCAGAGACAAAAGCATTCAGCTCACCCACCCAACACCTGACCTAAGCCTTACAGACAGAAAGGTAATGCCTACCCTGGGGTAGAGGGGGCATGACTCTAGGCAAAGACAGTATGTCCAAGGTGGGCATCACCAAGAGAGCACTGGGGCCCACTCTGGATGAAAGGGTGCCAGGCATAGTCCTGGCTTTAAGCATCTTGGTCTTGGTAATGACAAGGAAAGTTTAATCACACCAAGTGGGTAGGGGTGGATAACAGGTACCAGGGTGCCATTGGATAAAAGTGGTTACTTCTAATGTTCTACAGCACAACAGGATAATTGTAATCCACAATTAAACATCGTAAGGCAGCAGAGAGAATTTGGAATGTTCCCAATACAAAGAAATGATAAATGCCTAGGGTAATAAATATGCCAAGGATTCTCAAACAGCCATCACACACTTTATGCCTACACTGAAGTGTCTCATCCCAGCCCACAAACACACTGTGTTTGTGTTGTATTGAGTTACAAATATATGTAAGGAACTGGGCAGATGGCTTAGTAGGTAGAGCACTTGCAAGCACGGAGACCTGAGTTCAGATCCCCAGCACCCATGAAAACTAGATACAGCAGTGTGAGTGTGCGTGCATGTGTGTGATCCCAGAAGTCCTACAGCGAGATGGGATACAGACAGGACACTCTCCAGAGGCTTGAGGGCTCTCCAGCTTGGTGTCCAGTGCAGCAAACAGGAATCCCTGCCTGTCCCAACAAGCTGGAAGGGAAGCACCAACACCGGGGCCTGTTCTCTGACCTCCACCTGTGTGCACGCATGCACCCCCAAACATACACAGACATCAGACATACACAAAGGATTGAAAATGCACAGATTTCTTTTTGTTCAAGGGTGAGAATCAGTGACAGAACATTTGCTCAGCATGCACAGGGGGCTTGGGTTCCATCCCAAGACAGCAAAAAAATAAAAATAAAACAAAAAAAAAAAAAAAAAAAAAAAAAAAAAAGAAGAAAAGAAGGAAGGAAGGGAAAGAATCAAAGTTCCAGACAGCCCAAGCCAGTTTTGCAAAATGGACAATGTCTTAAATGCTAGAGGCACAGACGAAACAAAGTGTGCTTTCGGCCCAGAACTTTACAAGGGCCTCTTCTGAGACAGCCCTTGAAGGACAAAGCGGTTCGCCAGGCAGGATCTAGCCACACTCTCCCTGCCTAACCATAGGGATACAGGCATTCACATTCCAGAATGCTCTGGGGGCTCTCTGCTTTTCTTCTGGGAGGTCTTCATTTTTGTTTGTTAGGAGACAGGATCTCATGTAGCCCAGGATGGCCCTGAACACATTATCCTCACCTCCAGAGAGCTGGAAGTATAGCCTTGAAGTACCACATCTAGATGTGACCTGAGGTTCATAGTGCCCACGTGTGATGTGCACCAATATGGATACAATAGGCTGTGGAGAAGAGCAAACATGAGGCCGAGGGAAGCAAGTATGGCTGGGTGATGGGCTTGGAGCACAGAACCAGGGAAGGGCACAGAGGCTCCTGCCCTGCTCCCTTACCAAAGGCTATCCTGACACCTCTCCCACTGATACCTTGCATCCCAGAGTCACTGTAGCCTTCCCTCGTGTGCCAGCTCAGGAGGTGAAAGGTGCTCCCGGCTTCTAGAAGGAAACAGACTCGGTTACCGCTTACATTCCATCATCAGCTCCAGAGGCCAGGCCCCAGGCGTCTTCCCCAGCAACTCAGCACTCAGTACTGGCTCAGAAATAGGAGTGTGCTCACATTCAAGTCATGAAACAAAGAAACCAGATACCAGATGGCTAGCAGACCAGAGAGGGAAAGACGGCAGTTAGAAGCAGATCATCCAAAGTCTCTGCTCCTTGCTGCCTCCCTCAAAAGTACCAGCTGTCATGAGGAAAAAGCCACATATTCCAACACACAATCAGACCCCCTACACACATACACAGGCATACTTACACACCACAAATGTACATCTACCATACATCCCACATGTACATATGTCCAACACATACACACGCCACATACTTAATCCCCACATACTCTACACATACACCTACCTACTCACACACTCTCACCTCATATATACCAGCCCCCTTGACATATACACTCACAAATACACCTCCCCAGCATCCAAGACTGCATACTTTCAAACCCTCCTCTCCTCCAGCATAGACATTGCTAGTTCTTTTCTATTTCCTGGAATTGAGGTTTAGTAACATCAGTGGATTTCACCATACCTATTTTATTATTTTTAAAAAAAAATGTGTTCAAACGACATATGACTACTAAAGAAAAGTAACCCTTGTTGGGGAGATAGCGCAATCCATACAACTTTTGCTATCCAAGCAGGAAGACCCAAAGTCCATCCCCAGCACCCAGATGAAAGGCGGATCATAGTAGCATGTGCTTGTAATTTCCAACCTGGTGAGGCAGAGACAGAGGGATCCCTGAGGCTCACAATCCATCTAGCCTAGCTTACTTAACAGGCAAGACCCTGCACTCAGCGAGAGACCCAGTCTCAAAAGACAAGGTACATGATCATCCTAAGGCACACCAGAGGGTGTCTCTGAACTCTACACATGCACCTAAGCACACTCATACCTGTACACGTGGACACATACCCAAAGAGAGAGAGAGAGAGAGAGAGAGAGAGAGAGAGAGGAGAGAGAGAGAAGAGAGAAGAGAGAGAGGAGAGAGAGTTCTTTATCATGTTTCTGTGGAATTCTCACATTCTCTATGACCACTAGAAGGAGGCAATTGTGGCAGAGTTTCCTTTCCATGTGTTTTTTTTTTTTTTCTCTATGTCCCCAAAGCTTTTCAGGTTACTAAATAGATGGTTGGCAGAGAATCATTTTCAAAATATTACCTGCAGGTGGCAATTTGTTTTCAGGGGTTTTTCTTCTGAGTAGACTCCTCTCTGGTACCCTACGGACTGACAGCTGGCTTCAGCAGCTCCATTTCTTCTCCACTCTTTGTCACCAGGTATTTCACAAACATTAGGGAGGGACTGGGTTCTCAGATGTCTAACTCTATGATGTCATCATCTCCCTCCCTGACTGTGTAGGGGAAGGATGATGCTAAAACTGATTTGCTCCTCAACGTTCTTACAGGGCAGTGAGCTGAGTAAGTCTGAAACAAGGGCCCCATGTCGCTCACCAGTCTCAGAGTCATCAAATGCTTCATGAAGGGTGACCATCATATGACAGAATGTGGCCCAAGGATCATCAGCTCTTAACCCTAACCTGCCACCCCTCCTAATCCTGTGATAGCAGAGGGCTCTGGAAAGCCTGCTTTACATTCAATGATCTGTTAGAAAACATCAAGAGAGCCACAATCAAGCGAGTGCTCTCTCCTTAGAGGGTAAATGTAGAGGTGTTTTATCCAGTAAAAGCTTCATGCCAGTAACCCCAGCATTCAGGAGGCCAAGGCAGGAGGACTGCCAGGAGTTCATGGCCAGCTACATACTGAGTTCCAGAGAGCAAGGTATAAAAGGAGGCCTTCCTCAAAGAAGAAAAGTGAAGACTTCATTCCAGCTGGCACAAAGAGCGGGGAACATATAAGAAAATGCAAAGACTATTTTTTTTTAAAGCAGGTTTAGCAAGACAGAGCATGAGAAGGCAGTCAGCTCACACTTGTACACGTTCTAGGTCAACAGAAGGCAAAAGCCAAAGCTGAGAGGCCAAGAAAAGGAGGCTGTTCTTTTTCCAGAAGCAGGCCTCTCTAAGTAACTAACGTGAGCTCGTTGCTCGGCAGAGGGAGGCAGCACCTCACTTGGACCACTCAGGAACACACCCAGGCCTTACCTAAACTGAGCTGCCTAAAACCCAAAGGAATTTCCCAATCCCCCTCCTACCTTACCACCCCAGAGCTACACAGAGTCAGTGTCACCAGCTTCACAGCACAGCCACACCAGGCATTTCAATTAAATTCTTTTTACTGGGGGTGGGGGGGTTGCATTTTGAGCACCACAGCAAGATTACTATTTCTAACCAGTTAGTAGACCAAGTGACATGGATGAGGTGCTCGTGGAGGGCCTGCAGACTGTCCATGACGTCACGAGCTGTCAGGCTGAATGGACTGGGGTCCCACAGTGTTTCTGCCACAAGTCGATGGCCTTGCTCACAATGGCGTCTGAGCTGTCCTGAGGAATCTGTGAAGAACAAAGGAGTCCAAGTGATGCTTCTGTGTTACTTCAGGATCTGCCCTCACCCTCTGTGGCAGCTGTTTCCGTGGGAGCTAGCTCTGCTTTTGGAAGGGGGCTGCAGAGGTGGGATGATTTAATGCTCCTGGGGACACACTGAGGAGCTCTGGAGCCAGGCGGTCTGCCACTGCCCACTCACCACCTAGCCCTGAATGGTACTCAGTGGCCTGCAGCTCAGCACCCATCTCTGAATAGGGAACAACATCCCAGATTCACAGCACTAGTCACAGGATGACAGAAGAGAGCCCTTGCTTGGCACATGCCTGGCACTGTTGGCCACTAATTAGTATAATAATGATGATTCACTGAATGAACACATACATATTGGCTTGGCTCTTACTATTTAGCAGGCCACACTGCACGTGTTAGAGCTGGCTAACTAAAAGGGGGCTAGGGGACCCTGAGTCTGCTCCAAGATGTACTCTATGCAGGAGCAGCCTCTTTCTCAGGAGAGATGTTCTAAGAGGGAGGAGGAGCTGAGTCACTGAAGCCTTTTCAGCATGCACTAACATATCTAAGCACATTAACCAACCCGGCTGGGACCGCACCAGAGGCAGTGAAGGCAGGGAAGGCCCCAAGAACCTCAATGGTGCTCACTTGCTTCAGATTCCTGCTGTGCTCACTGGGGATGAGACTTCACCCCAGGAGGCATGCTGCAGGCAAGGGGCTTGCCATGCAGACCAACATCCCCAAAAGAGAAGCAACACTGTTAAGGATAAATAACTATTTCTTCTTGCCACGAGTGCAGTGCTTGACCATAATCCCAGCACTCAGGAGGCTGAGATGGGAGAATTACCGAGACCTGGAAGCCAGAGTGGGGCATATAGAGAATGCCAGGCCAGCATGGGTTATAGCACAAGTCACCAGCTCAAACCAACAATAACATAATGCTTTAGTAGAGTAAAAATAAACTGTATTACTTCTCTGAAATAATATAATACAGTAGGAAAGTCTGGCTTGCAAAGCTGCCTTCGTTTCCAGATTCCAAATCCAAGGAGACAAAGCACTCACATTTTCCAGGAACTTTGTTATCTTCTCTGCACTGTTCAATGCCATGACCTTTATTTTAAAGGTTAATAATATTTCTACCGCTACAAAAACTAGGATCTTGCAGGATCCACTTACAACTTTATCCCAGACCCTACAAAACAGAGAGATCACCAAATTAGAGGACTTTAAAGCTGATGTTACCCAAACATCTCAGATTATAAAATAACATCCAATTACACTCATTTTAAGTATATGCTTCAGAGAATAGCTATGACATAATTGGTATCAACAGGATAGATGAGCTACTGAGCAGAGTCTAGGTAGAACGGCTTTAGAAGGATAAAAGGAGTTCACTTAAAGTTACTGCTGTGCCAGAATGTTCCAAATGCCTGCTGAGAACTTGCTATTGAAGAACAAGAAAGTCCTAAGCCAGAGTGTGTACCCTGCTCCCACCGTGGAAGCAGGTGCTTACTGCACACCACAAGACGGCAATACAGCGAATGAAATGTCAGGGATTGCACTGCCAGGGAGCCTGGGATCCAAGGGCTCTTTATGCATGTGTATGTACAAATGCCTGTGTGTAGGTACACAGGCACACATGGTAAAGGTGTGGAGGCTGGGGCTGATGGAGGGTGTCTTTCTCTATCGTGCTCCACTTTAGATTTCGAGACGGAGCCTCTCACTGAACCTCATGCTCACCAGCTGGCTGGACTGGCCGGCTGGTGAGCTCTGAGGACCTGCCTTGTCTGCACACACCCCTGCCAGCACTAGCTTTACAGACATGCCATCACGCTGGCTTTTTACACGGGTGCTGGGATCCAGACTCTGGTTTCATGTCTGTCCAGCAGGTAGCTGTACCCACTGAGCTGACCCCAGGGCCTAGGAGCCAGCCAGTTCCTGATCCACTATTTCTCTAAAATAACTGTTCGATAAATCTTGTAACTTTCAAAGTTGGTATTGGACTCTATGTGCTGAGTTACACATTTTCTTCTAATACTTTCTATATGCTGATTTCCTTTCTTCCAAACAACATCACAAAGACCTGGAGTTGTGCGGCTGAGACTAAGAAATGTCCTTAACACAGTGGTTCTCAACCTTCCTAACGCTGCGACAGTTCCTCATGCTGTGACCCCAACCATAAAATTATTTTTGTTGTTGTTATGAATCACCATGTAAATATCTGTATTTTCCACTGGTCTTAGGTAACCCCTGTGAAAGAGTTGTTTGACCCCAAAGGGGTCGCGACCCACAGGTTGGGAATCCCTGTTTTAACATGGGTCTCAAAGTGACTGGAGAAGGAAAGTTTGTCTCTGACAACCTTCAGCTCTTTCAAGAATGTCATGAAATGACATTCAAAGAATGTAAGAAATACATTCTAAGAAATACAAAGGTGTCTGTCTGTCAGGATCCAATACCTGTCTAGACAAGAAGCACTCAGGCTGCTGCACACCCTTCACATATGACTGCCTCACGGCACCCAGAGGCCCACAGCCTTCACAGGCATATATTCAACAATAAGGAGAACCATATTAGCTCTGCTAGGGAATGTAGCTTCAAATCACCTTCCCATTCTGAAGCAAACTCCAGTCTTGAGGGATGACCATATAGGGGCCAGGATCCCTTTCTGACTCCAAGCTGCCAGCATGCAGTGGAAAAAACACATACCTCTGTAAACTGGACTCGGGCAGGCATCCTGCAAAGCACCTTTTAAACCAGAGATCATAAGGAAGTTTGGAGACCGCAGAACACGTCTTCAGGTGACTCAGCAGCCTGCTGTCTTCCAGATTCAAGTACTGTTCGAAAGCCTTGGGCTAAAGATTACGCAGTAAAAGAGATTACTCGTTTCCTGTGACATAATGTCACCTCATGCTACACACTATGATGGAAAAAAATGTGTGTGCTGAGTAAAAGAAAGTGCTAGGAAGCTTGAACACCATCAAGTCAGTCCTAACATAATAGTTTTTGGTCACTACTGACAATGGTGACCAACTGGAGCTGAGGGCTTTGGCAAGATTCAAGACTGTGCTCAACCCACAGGACAGTAAGCAGGCAAAAGAAAGTCAGTCTCCCTGATAGTGTACAAGCAGATACAACAGCTAGAGCAGAGTCTAAGGCAAGGGTCAGCTATTATGGACAGCTAAGAAAGGCCCATGGCAACCTGGGGGATCTGGAGCAGCCAATCATATAAAGAGATGGAAAGGTGGCTGTGGTGGCACAAACCTCTAATCGCAGCATTCAAGACACTGAGGTTCAATGATGGGGTCTGAGGCCAGCCTGAGGAGAGCCAGTCTCAAGCCAAAAGTGCAGGCTAGAGACACTGCCCAGATGAAGTTATGAGTGCTTGCCACACAATCATGGGGACTAGAGTTCAGCTCCCAGCACCATGTAACAAGCTGGGCATCTGACATTTCCGTAACCCCGGCTGCGAAGAGAGGCAGAGATGGGAGGGTCTCAGGGGCTTGCTGGCTTCCAGCCTAGCCAAGAAAACACAAGCCCAAGCCAGGGAGAAAGGCCACATGAAAGGAATAGGAGGAGAAATGGCCTATACATGCACACACGTGCAAGCTCACACACACACACACACACACACACACACACACACACACACACACACAGAAAAAAAAAAAAAAAAGCCCTAGAAATCTGCAAAGCTGACCGATAAGGAGTCATGGTTACTGTCTGATGGACAAGTTGACACCTGTGCAGCAGAAAGCAGGCAAGCTCAGGACCTGCTTGCCAGGTTGAAATGTAAATCTGCCCAAATTAAGTAAGTAGATTTTAAATACACCCCAGATGCTCAAGCATTCTCTCATAGTACCTCCCTAGGAGACACACACACACACACTCAAACATGCAAACACGCACTCATGAACACACGCACACATGCAAAGAGCAAGGGCAGGTTTATTGTCAGTGTGGGACTATTATAGTTAATTACAGCAAAACCAGAACAGGAAACACTGAATAAATTATGTAGGGAAAGTGATTCTGAATGAGAGGCTGTCAATCCCAGCTACATTCAGAATCGCCTAAGGATCTGAAACATTAGAATTCTAGGCCCCACACCTATTTAGATTCTAATTTAATTGAGTAAAGGTAATGAGAAGTTTTTCAAATCTCTTGAGTACTAACAGGAAGTCAGAACTGAAAGCCAACGGTTTGTCTGAATGAGCGTAGAAATTCTGCAAGTACTGAATTACAGACAAATAACAATGATATGGCCCAAGCATAGAGTAATGTACTTCATGTGTTCACGTGTACAAGTGCACGTATGTGCATGCTGGAACAAGGTGACAGCCCTGAGCCCCCTGCACCAGCCCTGGCGGCCCCCACTCCTGACAGGAGGCTGAATGAGAAGAGCCAAGCTCCTGCTGCTAAGCCTTCCACACATGTGGGCAGGCAGAAACCTGAACTAACACAGAGGGAGCGTTCTAGACAAGCCAGTGGCTGTAGACCAGGATACTCCAGAGCAGGTGGGTGTTCCGGGGGTTCACCCCATGGAGACCCGGCAGTCTTGGGTTGTCTTTGGGCTCCAGTAGCAGATCCAAGGAGCCCATTCCATGGGAAATACTTTCTGGCCTTTTGCAGAAAACATTTTCGAGGAGCTACGATACAGGGTCCACTCGTCACAGCAGCAGCAACTAGAGTAAGAGTATTCTCTGACACTACTTATTCCTCAATTAAAAAATAAAAACAACAACAAACAAACAAACAAAAAACCCTCACCAGCTGAGGTAAAGACTCCCGGTACTTGTTGTTTAACTGCTTCACGAAGCATCGGGTGATCCAGTAACAGTCTACGCTGTCTTCCACCATCTCTTCCATGGCTTTAGCAATGGCAAGAAAGACTTCATCCTCTGGCTCCTGAAAGATTGACAACAAATCTCAAGAGGGAGGCAGCAGAAGGAAAGATATACTTCTTTACTGAAAATGTAACACTGGCCCCTGCATTCTAAGAGGACACATTAATAAATCAAAAGAAGGTTCAGCAGGGAGAGTGTATCAGTGAGGAGAAGCAGGAGAAGGGAAGGGCACATAGCTACAGAGGATCATGGGAGTCAGCATGGCTGAACAATAGCTGGCTTTTGTGTGGAGTCTGCTTGCAAGCACAGGCAAGGCAGGGTCTCTCTCCATGCTAGATTGGGATGTGATGACAAAAAACATTTTGGAATGTACATAACTTAAGAATCCTGGGGGACTCCAAGTGGGCTCATAAAACATCTGACTTACGTCAGAGTTTTCGCACACACCCTTAGAACACTGCTCTACCTAAAAGGTTAAACACCCTGGAATCAGAATTTTAAGAAGCAGAAGAGTGACAGTTCTCAGATCTGTTAATATGAAAATAAACCCTCAAGTAATTTTCAACAGAGCAATCTTACAAAACTGAAACTCTATTCGGAAATTATTTTGTTTTCAAACACTGCCATCAACACCAAAAACAAACAAACAAACAAAACAAACCTTAAATTTTAATCTAGGATTTCATATTTGATACTTTTAAGGTTAACAGGAAATTAAGAAATACCTTCTATTCCCCTGAGAAGTCCCAAGTTAAATGAAAATTTTAATAAAAAGCAGTTTATTCTTAGGCTTCCTTTCAGCTTATTGGTATCTACCAATGTAAGGAGTCGCAGAGTTAGATTTACAAGAAATATATTTCTCTAAGCATTTTACTACAGTATTGGAGGACACAAAAGGAGCAGGAAGGAATGTAAATCTTTCTCTCTAGGCCTAGCCCTGGTCTGTGGGACCCTGCAGGTGGCATGTCACTGGCTGCTCCTAGTCACTCTGACAGGTCCAGGGAAGACTGGTGTCCTTCGCCCAGCTGTGCTCCAGCTGAGCACTCACAGGCTCTTACAACCAGGTGATAGCAGAAGAGGGGCTGGGTGTGTAGGCAGAAGCGGAGAGGCAGAGTGCACCTGAGACTGCAGGGGGAGGTGTCTGGCTCGGAGCATGGACCAGTGAGTACGGATGAGGATGAGGTGGAAGCCAGGCCCATAATTTAGACTTCTTACCCCGACAAAATAGCAAACCTATCCAGTACGTAATCCAAGAACTCACAGCCCTTCCAGTAGCTTGGTGGGCTCGGCTGCATGGGAAGCTCGGGAAGGATGGCAACTGGGCAACTTAGCAAAAGGTGAAATAAAGGCTCCGAGTGGGCTAGAGGGGCAGCTCAGTGGTAGTGCACCCAAGAGGCCACAGAGCCCGTCAGAACCACAGAGCTCGTGTGGTGCCATCAATGCCACAGCGCTGCCTCTGAGTGACGGGAAAATGGGTGTCCTAGGTGCCGCTTAACATCTGGGCTCTTCTCCTTCATGCACGTAATGGGAAGAGGGAGCACACGGCCTTCATTCGCACTAATTTGTCGCAGGGACTCTAACATTATCTTCCACGTCTGTAAAGGCATATGAGCCACATATAAAATAAGTCACTTATGTTTTGAGGCAAGATCTCGCTGTGTAGCCGGTCTCACATGCCAGAGCCTCCCTTCTCTGCCTGTGAGTACTGGGATTAGAGGTGGCGATGCCACACCTGGTTCAAAGCCCCATCTACGCTAAAAACGAATTTTGTAGGTAATCAAAACTTGCATGTGAATCCTTGCTTGGAAAATCCATTCAGCCAAATAAATAAAACCTTCATTAAAATACCCAGGCTGCAGTAAAGTAGCTGGCAACATTGGTACATTCAGGAAAAGAAGCCAGAAGCAAGTACCTTAGGATAATGGGGACTTTTTAATATTCACAACTGTAGCAGGGAAGGCTAAAATAAACTTGTAATATTGGAATTGAACTTCTCACTGTGAATCCAGGATTTTTATTAATATAGAAAGATATACGCTAATGTACACAGGCTGGGGTACAACTCAGCAGCAGACCACTTGTCTGGCATGTGTGAGGCTCTGAGTTCCAGGCCCAGGAGCACAACATCTATATTTTTTTTACACATACATACGTGTGTGTGTGTGTGTGTGTGTGTGTGTGTGTGTGTGTGTGTGAGTGTAAGAATGACAAACAAATTGGCTATGTGTGGATGTATATACACACTCATATATATTTCCTACCTTGGTCTTCTAAGCGAACCTTAAAGCAAACAGCCCAAGAGAACAGAAACAAAGCTGATTCCAGGACACCTTTTTTGTGTCAAAGTGTCAGGAAACACTTAAAACAGTGAGCACACCAGACAGACACGGGTGTCAGGGGAAAGGGGCTCTAGCCGAAGCTGTAGCATCTTGAACATCGAAAGGAAAAATAGCAGTAAAAGATTATAGCCCTTAGCATACACCCACACTGACATCAACAAATAAATGCAAAGGGAAACTGTTACAGATGAAGCCAACTAACAGACGCAGAAAGAATTCAGGAAATAGGCAATCACAATTTGGCAATCAGAGAAGTAAAAACATTTTAGGCAAGAATAATAATAATTTGGTGAGTATTTATAAGCCCCAAAATTCCATGTGGGTGGCATACATCTTTAATTCCGGCACTCAGGAGGCAGATGGAGCTGTGTGAGTTCAAGACCAGCCCAGCCTGGTCTACATCACAAGCTCCTGGCCAGCTAGGCTGACACAGTGAGACTTTTGTCTCAAATTTTTAAATTAATTAGTTAATTGATAACATATTAAATATAGTATATAAACTATATAAGTAACAAATATGCAATATATATTTATATAAATATATTATATGTATTTGTATGTATATTTATATAGTATTTATATATTTATGTTCATGTTATAAATACTATAAACTATGAATCTATAAATTTACACATAAATAACATGTCAATAATATATATACATACATATGTCTGAAAAAAGCCTTCGAGTCTCTCTTCACGAGTTACTCATTAATTACAAAGAGTTTACAGGTGAGGGACACTATGCCAAGTGATCAAATTTCCAACGCTTCTCTGCTACCCTTGCCAGTAAGCAGCTTCTAGTTAGTAAACACCAGACAGATGGAGAAGTCCCTAAGAGACTCTTGCTCTTCAAAAGAATCAAGGTCAGAGAAGAGCAAGGAAGCTTGAAGACCAGTGGGTTCAGGACTAAGAATGGCAACTAAGTGCGATGTTGATCCAGGACTGGATCAGAAGAGCATCAAGGGACAAGCAGCAGGAGATCAGAAGGTGTTCAGCTTAGCTCCTAGCCCGGTGTCAAAGCTGGTTTGTAAGCTCTGATCACCACACTGTGGCTGCGGGAGACCCAGCATGTGAGGACGTTGGGCAAAGGTACTTGGGGCTGGTGTGCTATTTTATTACTTTCTTCTATGTCTAAGATTACTCAGAGATGAAAGACTAATCTCCATCAAAAATTTAAGTCAATGGTTGGTCGATGTATCAGCCAAACTTTAGCAAGGAAGAGGATAATCACATAGCAGTTCTAAGTGTCTCCCCCACAAAAAAAAAAAAAAATAGTGATTACAAAGGGAGAAAGAATAACTTCCCAGGAGAAACCTTACCAAAGGATCAAAAGTTGATGATGTCTCATGAGGCAAAGCCACACTGAGCCTCCTGACAGAAGACACTGAGGCACATCATCCATGGGTACCCCTGCGAAAGGGAACAGCCTGTACCACACCAGGACCTGAAGTGAGAGGCTTTCTATAATGTTACTGACCGACATCTGTCAAAAGTGTCGAGGGCATGAAAGAGACAAAGGACCCGTCCCAAATCAAAGATGTCTAGAGCACCATGGCAACTCAGTGTAATCCACAGTCCAAAATCAAATCTTAAACTTGCCTGTTTGTTTACTTGTGATGGAGGGCATCCCTAGAACAACTGGGTAAATAAGAAAGGAACTTGGAGGTCAGACTGAGTGCTGCTGCAATACTGACTCCATGACATCATAACTGTGCCATACTCACCTACAGAGATGCCTTGTCTCCACAGGGAACATACTGAAAAGCCTGAACAAACACAGCATCATGACTGAATCTTGCTCTCTCTGGCTCATATAAAGAATTCTGTGTACATGGCCAGAAATGGTGATGCATGCCTAAGATCCCAGCACTTAGGAGGCAGAGGCAGAAGGGTACTGAGTTGGAAGCTAGCCTGTGCTACATACATAGGGAGACTTTGTCTCAAAAGAAAAAGAAGAGGGGTTGGGGAGATGGAACTGCTGCTCTTCCAGGAGACAAGGGTTTGCTTCCCAGCAGCCACATGGTAGCTCACAACCACTTCTAAGTCCAGTTCCAGGAAATCAGATGGCAAGTAGTATACAGACATGTAGGCCAATCACCCATACACCTAAAATAAAATATTAAAAAAAAAAGGAAGAAAGGGGAGGGAGGAAACGTGCACATCTAGGAAGAAGTAGCAAAGCAGATATCATCAAATAGTAACAACTAGAAATGAGCAAATAAAGATATGAAAATTCTTGGTAGTATTTTGTGCCCTTTCTTCAAGTTTGAGATTACAGTCAGGCATCATATAATAAAAGTTAACTAAAGCCCTAATCTATGATAGCAAGCCTCTAAGATTAAACTGCTTAGGAATGTCACAGGCATCTGAATTTGAGCAGATATAAATATATGATACACGATGTCTGCAAATGAGCAAATGTCTAATGACTCATTTCTCAGCACATATACCCATCATTAAACAATGTGTGACTGTGTCTAAAACAAAACGTATTTTTAAAATAACTGACATTGATTGTTCAGGACCATAAATCCCAGGGAAAAATGCTGCTTTCCTTCTACCAACAATGGGGCACCACTAAAAGTTTCTAAGACAAAACATTATGTAATGAAAGCTAACAAAAATAAGGTCATGGTGGCATGGCTCAGTGATAAAGTGCTTACCTGGCACTCATGAGAACCTAGGTTCGATCCACACCTCTGCAAACACATTAACAGACAAAACAAAGAGTAATTTTAGAAAAGGGGTTGAGTTAAATGTCAAGCGAGAATGACCACTCACCAGCGGAAAAGAGGGACTTCGAGGCAACTTCCCAGACTCAAGCTGATACATGCGGAGATACACTTCGACCTGAGGGGTGGCATCATTGATGAAGCGAACGACTGTCAAGGCATGGAGGACATCGGAGTACTGATCTTTGCGATAGGCCATCACCTGGGCATGAGAGTCATGGTGTGGAGGCAAGATCCCTACACAGAAAGATGGGACAGGGAAAGAGCAAATGCTGAGACACCCACCCAAACCCTCCTTCGGTGAAAAGAATCCTGTGAGAAGCAGCCCCACACGTGAGATTCACACAAAGGAGGACCATGCGGATTCCCTTTCAAAAAGTCTCACTCTAACAATCTTCTATGTTAAGAGCTTTGTGAGATGGTGCATCATTGATATGGGAGAGAAATGAGATGGTACCACAAAGCCTTTAAACAAATGAGTGACGTAATTTCAGGACAATAAACACATCAACTGTAATAGTGGTTTGACTCAGCTCATGGCTAGCAGCTGAGGGCGCCTTTAGCTCCTGGGGCCTCTCCCTACTTCTGGCAGTTGGGCTCCTACATCTCAGAACAGTTTTTTCTCCCCTTTCTTCCTTTTCTCCCTCAATAGTTAAAACTTATTCACAGAATACCCTATCACAAGTCCATGCCTTTGTCACTATCATCTCGCTGGCCACCCTCTTTATTTTTTATAAGTAAATGGCATAGGGAAAACAATGGGAAGACTACGAGCCCGGTGTTCAGTGACGCTGGGCTCCAGTCTCGGATCAGCTAATGCCAGGACTCTCACCAGTGTTTCAGTTTATCACAAATGTGGGCATTTGTGTCCCCCTAGCAGAGGCAGGAAATGGGATAGACAAGCCCGACACCAAATCCTCCCTGAAGAATCAGAACCTCAAGCATTGGCATAAGAAAATGGATTGTAGAATGTTAACAAGGCATTGATAAGGCTCAGTTTTGGTATAAGCAATTTTTTCACTTTATTTATTCCAAACCCATTAACGTAATGAGGCTGTACAGAGTCAGAGACTCTGGAGTCAAGATTCCTGGGTTTGAGGTCTAACTACAGGTCACTGACTTGAAGAGCTCCAGAAATTCCCTCTATCTCCTGGGTCTCATCTGCTCCCCAACTGAAAATTAGAGACAACAACACCTAAGTCCACAAGTTGCTATGATGAAGAGACAAATTCATAAAGCACTCAGAAAGGTGTCTGGCGCATGCCTGGCAGGCACTTCATTTGACTGTGACTCCCTTTGATGCAAAAACCCAGAGACCAATTATTCTAAAGAATGTTCTGGGGGCTGGAGAGATGGCTTAGTGGTTAAGAGCACTGTCTGCTCTTCCAAAGGACCCGGGTGATGCACGTAAAAAAAAAAAAAAAAAAAAAAAAAAAAAAAAAAAAAAAAAAAAAAAAGAGCAGCAAGGCAAGCTCAACATTCTGGAGCCATAAAACTCGGAACATGTGTCTATGGCTCTGTGTCAGGTTCCCAGAGAGGTTGAGGGACACACTTAAATGTCCTCCACTTCTGGGCTGGTGCAGACTAAAGATCTGGAGTTGAACCTACCATAGGCAGCAGAATGTCAAGGATTAAGCCTGTGTCTAGGAGTTCATCCCAACAGCTCTCTCAACATTTATCTAAAATGGTACTAGAGAGGCAGCATCCTCAAAGCCCAAAGCAACCAACCCAAACCAAAGAGCCCTTTATACTGTGACAGCTCTGCATTCTCAGTGCCTCTAACTACAGCAGAAAAACAACAGTGGCTTAGATGGCAAAGAAGTAAGAAAAAGCCGAGGTAAAAAGCCAGGTGGGGTTTGACATTCAGGAAGGGTCACAGACACAACAGTTTCCCATTAATAAGACACACAGGACAGCCCAGAAGAAATGGCTGATGAAAACTGCCTAAAATGCACCCTTAGAAGAAATTTAATTTGATGACTATAGAGTCTTTATGTAAAACTCAAGAAAAAAAAAAAAAAAAACTCTCGAGAAAGAGTTTTTTTTAAAACAGTTATTATGACTTCTGTGGATGGTTACCACACACACGCCTAACCAGACACAAATGAGCATAAAAAGCTGCCAAGATGCTCAACAACAAACCATCACGAAGTGCTTTCTAGAACAGCTTGTGTTCCCCTATGACCTCCATATGGCATGGCAAGTCTGAGGGCCACAGATTTCTCAGGTTCTGAAATGTACTGCAAACACAGCACGAGGTTTGCTATCCCTCATCCCTGACCTTCAAGTGAGTTCTCCCAACATAAGCTTTAATTCCTTGTCTGTCACAGGCCTTAGAAAAGTGTTTTAGGCCCCCAGGGTCTGTGTCCATCTAGGATGGCAGAACTTCCCTCAGGAGAATTTTAGAATTACTGTACGTAATTTATGTAAACTATCTAAGTTAGTGGTGGAACCCACCGTTGCGCAATACACAGTGGTAGTTCATATTCCTCCTACAACTCCATCCTCACCCCGTCGTCTCACAGGTAAACCCCAGCTGTTTAAGGAGGAAATGGAGGGTGATAACGAACGGGGATTAGATGCTCCAGCAGGCTCAGCAATGACGGGGAAAATCCTGAGCTCAAAGGGACACTGCCAGCTGCTTACAGCAGATGCTGAGCCAGTCTCCTCCTTACTCAGCCCAGCTCTGAAATTCTGGCAGATTAAAAAAAAAAAAAAAAGTATTCCTCCTTTAAAAAAAAAAAAAACATCTGTCATATCATTTTTATTTCAAAAAGTACAGGTGCATTTATGTTCCTCAGTAAGAGACTGATTTGATTAATTGTGGTACACACCAATGAATAAACACATGATTCTATGCAAGCTGTTCTAAACTTGCTCTTTGACCCATTTCACACTCTACACTCAGACACAACTCAAAAGAATCACATTCTTCAATCCTTTGTCAATATGGTTCCTCTTGTGGAGTCAGGGGTATCCTACCCACTTTGTTGCCAAGGCTTTCCTGAGACTCATGGTTCAGCCCAGGGCCTCAAGCTCTAAAAGACCCACGAAGGGCTAGGGATCCAGGCATGTGCTACCAAGTCTGCCTAGTACCTGAGCACCAGAACCTCTGCCTCCAAAGGTCACAGAGTACAATGTACTTAAGGCTAAAACCTAAAAGCACTTTAGCTCAAGATGTCTCCTGACAGAGCCCACTGTGGTATTCCTCCTGGCTATCCAGCTGACAGCAAAGACATCCAGTTCTCCTTTCTCCCAGCCCAATGTTCTTGCCAGCCGACATGACCACCTAAAGAGCACTCTTGGATGGAACTGATTTTGATGGCCACAAAATCTCTGTGTAAGATTTAAGAAAGAAAAATTCAATGGAAAAAACTATAATAGTTGTCATTGTTTTTGCAGATAATGACCACAGAGACCTACCAAATGACTGAATGCACAAAGGCTTTATTTCAAGAACAAATATTATCTTCTCTGCTACCACTAATAAGCAGACACTCCAAGAGTAATCATTAATATATTTCTGCTGAAGTCACTATCCTAAAGGCTTTTACAGTGAGCAGTAATTGGGCCTCCTGGGGAAAAGCCAGCAGTTAGCAAAGAGTCTCAGAAAAATCCTCCTTTGGTGACTGTAAGATGACAAAGGACCCCACTCAATACATTTGTAATTAAATCCCCCAACTCCTGGGTCTCATACCTAGAAGCACCTTCCATACCAACGCACGGTACATGGACGGGAGAGGGAACCTCTGGCTAAACGTACAAAGCTTCTCGATGTCTAGAGGGAGAGAAAAGAACAATTAGACATGTCTCATGGGCTCACAGCATGCGGAAGTGCAGTTTCACATCTTAAAACTGAAAGTCTAGCTCAGACACACCTTCAGGAGAAACACACCACATGATCAGCAAACTTGGGAAAGGCCATAGTGGTATCATTTCTAAGCTGCTTCTTCTATAACTGAGCTATCTACGACAGCACTTAGGCAGACTAAGTGCTGTCTATTTTGCACATATCACTGCATTCCCTTTAACATTAACATTATGGATTTGGGTGGAGACAGTGTTGCTCAGTGGTAGAGCACGTCTTAGCATGTGCTAGGCCCTGGATTCCATCTGTCAAACAAGAAGAAGCACTCAAGTTTGTTTTTATACTATGGTTCTGTTTTACTGTGAGTAACAACAGACTTCATTATTGTTGGCTTAAGATAAACTAAATATTGATGTGCAGTGAAGGATTATCTTCCATGAAAGGAAAAATCATAACCCAGGTTCTTAAAGGGTTTATGTAGAAACCATGGTGATATATCTAGAAATTGGGAGGAAATATATAGGCCTAATAAAAAATACTATTGACTTATTTTTAAAGGTGAGGATGTCTTACTATATACCCCCTGGCTGTCCTGGAACTCTCTATGTATACCAGGCTGCACAGGACTCAAAGATCCACCTGCCTCTGCCTCCCAAGTGCCAGGATCAAAGTCTTGCCCCACCACACTCAGCAGTGTCCAGTTTATAAGAAGCCTTGCAAAAGCTTCTCCCCTTCAATGAATTTGAAAAACCTCCAACTCTTCTCAAATTACAACAGTCTGACGTGTCATTTCACTAAAAAAATTACAGCAAGTAATAAGCACTGCCGTGAGTCCTTTACGGCAATGTTTTCCTGCTCACTGCAGACCAAAAAGCCTATGCCGAGGAGACTCACCGAGACGGTCATCCTTCAAGAGGATTTCCAGTGATTTCTTCTCTTCAACTCCACGAAACCCGACTTTCTCATAGTAGACTGAACGGAAGTTCCTCTGAGATTCGTCAGTCATGTTTCATTCTTAGAGGGATTTTTTTTTTTTTTTTTTTTTTTTTTTTTTTTTTTTTGTCCTTTAGTGTGCCTAAAACCAAAGACAAAAAGAATTGGGAAGACATTCAGTGATTTTCTCTGCCTTTTGACTAATCAAATGTGATACATCGACTGTCCGTAAGCAAGGAGCATTAAGTCTTTGAATTCATACAACTCTAATCTCACCTCCTTAAGTATCTTGGTCAAGGACAAGATATAAGTAAGCTATTCTCCAAGCTACTAAAACAGATGGCATAGAATGTAGGCACTAGCATTTGCTCTTATGAGAGCCCTTGGCACAATGAAGTATCTTGTAGCCATTATAAACTTTTGAAAAAAAAAAAAAAAACAGATGAAATAGAAAAAAAGGCAAGTTATATTATGTAAATGGGGCTAGCCAGTGCTATGTACTCTGATTCTGCAACTAGGGTCTTACTAAGTGGCCCAGGCTGGCCTCAAACTCCTGTCCTCTGTCTCCTGGGAGCTGGGATAAAAGGTGTGGCCCACCATTCCTAGTTCAAGATATGCATTTTTAAAAAAATATTAACAATCTTCAGCTAGAAGGATTCAAGGTTACTTTAATTTCCTTTGTTTTCTTTAGCTGTGCTTTCTAAAACGGGCATTTGGAGAAATGAGAAAAACAAACAAACAAAAAATAAAAAAATATAAGTCCTGCCCTTATTTTTCTTGTACAACTCTGCCAAATATAATTATCAAAATACAAGACCTCCAACATGAAAGTATAACCAGAAGACGGTTAGGAATGTAGACAGATGACAAATGACACCACATTAAAACCCATGAGCACTCAAATCTTATCAGAGGCCCACCATTCTTTCAGAACAGTGCTCATGATACTAATGGTAAACCAAGATCGAACGAGGTTAGTGAGTCAGACACTGAAGATGCAAACATTCTTCCAAGGAAGAAAGTCCTCAGCTCCTAAAAGCCCCCCAGACGTCCCCAAAGACCAGGGGAAGATGGATTTCTTCTTGGGAGTAAGATATTATCTGAACAGAGCCTGTCACGGAAAAGATTAGAATTCTATTTTGAAAGCACGATTTAGAATTTAGACTTGCTTTTTTTGGAGTTCCAGGCTCTCCTAATAGCTGTTTTTTTAAAAATCCAAGGCATTAAAATGTAAAGTCTGCAGTTTTGTTTTTGTTTTGAAGCATTCGCGGGCCCTGTGGCCTGAGGACAGGCTTTCTGAGACTGCACTGTGACGGCAAAGGCATCGCCCTGAAGGGCGTGCTGTCAATTCCTGCCCAGGTGCCTCCACCTGCGGGAAAGGTGCCGGCACCCGGTGAAGCCCCAGGCCCCGCTCTCCCGGCTGTGTAAGCTTCACCTCTAGTAGTGCACACACCGGGGTTCAGACTAAGAGATCCGGGGAGGCAGCGAAGAGCTGGCCTGGCGAGCAGAGCCACCGGCGGCCAGGCGGAACCACAAGTGCCGGGGCAGAGCGAGCGAGGGGAGCGATGCCACGGGGACACCTTCGCCGGACTTCCACCGCTGCCGCACGTCCCGCGACGCCGCTAACGCCCGCCGCCGGACATGACGTCACGCCGAGTACGGGTGCGCGGAAGGCATTAAGGAAATTTCCACCCACGCCCGGGAACCGAAGCAGTAAAGCCGGGGACGGCTGAGCGGTAGTAGCGGGCTGAGGTCCTTTGCGCCGTTGTGCTTCAATGTCTGCCCTCTCACCTTGATCCCGAGACCCTGGCGATCGTCTCCCCCTGTGTTCAGCCATGCTTGCTCAGGGTGCCCTTTTCCAGCCGTCGTGGCCCTACCCAGTGGGGACCGGGACCCCTCGCGCAGTGTTTCTTACACTTCGCTGTGTGGAAAGTTAGAAATTAGCCTTTGCGTGTTGATTGCACCGCACTGCTTCTCCCAAACGTTCTATGTGTCCACGAGAAGCACAAACCAGTAGGACCTCAGCTATTAAAAACTCAGTGATGGGCAGGAGAGATGACTCGGCGGTTAAGAGCATTTAATGCTACTGCTCTTGCAGAGAATCCGGGTTCAAGTCCCAGCACTCACGTAGTAGCTCACAACAACTTTCCAGTTCCAGGAAGTCCAAGGTCCGCTTCTGGTTTCTGCCAGTGGTAGGCGCATGGTGCATGAGCACGCAGACAAAACAAACACATACTTAGAATTTTTAAAAACTTAGTGGTCTTCCAGTAGCCACGGAAAGATAAGCAAATCTGCTTTTTCAGCGTTTACTTTTCGCAAGGAGGCCAGTTGCTGTCACTTGCCTTTTGGCAGCGACTCAGTCAAACCCTAGAAGGCCAGATGCACAGCCAGGGGAGGCTGCTTGCCTGGGGAAGCCGTGAGCTGCTGGACAGAACTGGGGCATCCGATATGATTTGTCACATCGGTGTTGGCATTGAGTGGGAAACAAGGACTAAATTAGACAACTGTTAGGAAGATCTAGCTGTTTGGGGCCAGACTACTCTTCAGCTTCTTGAATTGTTAGTCACAGTCTGGCTTCCTAGAATGTTTTAGAAAAGGAGCTATTTGTGTTGAGTGTGTTGGTTGTGAGTCACATTCTATTTATGTATGGCCAGGCCATTGTCTTTGTGTAGTCAGCTCAGTTAAAATATAAAAACGAGAGTTGAAGAGATGGCTAAATGGCTAAGAGCACTGGCTGCTCTTCCAGAGTAGTTGGGTTCAGTTCTGAGCTCCTTCATGTATATAAGAGGAAAAAATGAAGTTAAAAATACATTGAGTCCAAACTTGAACCCATTATTAGATTTAATAGATATAGTACTCTTTAAACATTAAAGCTAACACTTTCTGTTTCTGTTTTCATTTCACAAGCCTGTGGGCTCAAGAGTATAGCAATGCCTGGGAAGGTTTAAGCCACCGAGGTTTAAAAGCAATCTTCCAGCAAAGGTGGTGCAGGGATGTGCCCCGGCTCCTTAAGAGCCCAAAACTTATAGACTGCCTTCTGAAGACGGTGGCTCCTGAATTTTCCCTCTTCATCTCTGGATCTGTGGATCTGGCTTACTTGAGTCAAATAGGCAGAACCAGCGCATCACTGTAAATACAGACATTCTCTGGGCATGGAGCCGGCGATCCTCCCCAGGGGACCATTTTTCACAGCACTTGCAGATCCTCTGTGCCTGGCCCAAGCTGTGGAGTTTGGACTCATCTACATCACCTAGGAGACAAACCCCTGGCCCTATCTCTAGGAGTTTCTTCATTAGGTTACTTGAGGCAGGAAGATTTACCCTAACTGCAGGTGACCCACTGTTCCAGAGTGATGCGGTGGATTAAATGTGGAATGCTCCTCCCCACTTCATATATTTGAATACTTGGTCCCCAGCTAATGCTGCTGTTTGGGAAGGTTGTGAAACCTTTACGAGGTGGAATGTTGCTGCAGGAAATGGGTCACTGGAAGCAGGCATTGGTGTCCTGTTCACACTCCACTCCTGACTATGGATCCGATGTGGCCAGCAGCCTCCTACCACTATACCTTGAACATGATGGGGTCTATCCTTCCTCAAACTGTAAGCTGAAATAAGCGCTTCCTCCGTGGACTCTTGTCATGTATTTCCATTGCAGTAGGAAGACAGGAAGCTAGCACAGCTGCAGTGAGGCACTGTCTCCTTACGTGATTGTGAAGGTACTGGAGAGAAAGCTGTCACTGGGGTAGATAGTGAAGAATTTTTTAAGTAAGTGAGTGCAGGTCAGTGTTAAATCACATGTTGTGATGGATAGTTTTACTGTCTACTTGACACAGCTAGCGCTATCTGAAAGGAGGAAACTTCCATTGAGACAATGCCTCTATAAGATCCAGCTGTAGGGCATTGTCTTACTTAGTGATTGGCGGGGCAGTGTCTAGTCCCCTGTGGGTGGTTCTATGCCTAGGCTGGTGTGCCTGGCTTTCATAAGAAATCCGGCTGATTCATTCGCAGCAGGCCAGTAAGCGGCATTCCTCATGGCCTCTGCATTAGCTCCTGTCTCTAGGATCCACTCTCTGAGTTCCTGTTCTGACTTCCTTCAGTGATGAACAGTGCTATGGAAGTTAAGTCAAATCCTTTCCTCCCCAACTTGTATTTTGGTCATGATGTTTCATCGAAGGAATAGAAACCCTAAGATACATGCTTAGCGTGCAAAAGGGCCTGAGTTCAAGGCCCAGTGCCACCAAAATAATAATAATAAAGTACTCACTAAACCATAAACGCAGGAAATGACAGCTGGGACATGAGTATATGAAGTAGGAATCACAGTATATTTGAGACTCCGTTCCTGTCTGGTCATGTCATGGGGCACAAATAAAAGGAGAAAGTAAAAAGCAGGTTTGAGAATTGACCATGTTTTCAGGTATGTTTTCAGGTGTGGGTAGGTTGAGCTCAAGGTGATAGCATTTGCAGGCAATGCCCCGAAGCAGCTGTGGATTGTGTGCCCGAATCAGAGTGAAGAGCTGAGGTGCGAGGGTGCTGTGAAAATGAATTCTAGGATGCTTCAGCAAACCTTAAGCAAAGTGCACATCAGGGAACCCCTCCACAAAGCCCAGCAGTCCCAGGAAATCAGCTCCCTGTGATTCTCAATGGAAGCAGCAGAGGGCAACAGCAGCAGTGAGTTCAGATAGGCTTCACATTTCCCTGAAAAAGGAAAAAAAATTTGGTTGCCAGGGCAGGCTGGGGATTTTGTCTCCACCAAAAAGCAGTGGATGTTTCCAGATGCTGAGAAAAAGACCAGCCTTATGTGCCCAGTTGCTGGTAGAAGTTCCTAAACAAAAAAAGGACCTTTTATTCACCAAGCAGAAAGGACACATATTGTTAGAGTTAAAGGTGAAATGGTCCCCCCAACGCCCATGTGTTTGGATGTTTACTCCCCAGTTGGTGGTATGGTTTAGGGGAAGTTTCAGATCTTTAAAATTGGAGCCTTCTGTACACAGGGGACTTTTGTTACTTTATTGAAATCTGAGGTAGAGTAGAAACAGGTGTTTGATCTTTTCTTTTAAACTGAAATACTGTGAGATACAGTCTGTGTTGCTTAACTGGAGTACATTTGGAGGAATGCCTCAGGAGGCATTTTGAAGTTGGAAAAAATCTCATAGAGCATACTAAACAAAATAAGATAATTAAGATGTCACTGGGCCACATCATCTGTTTTGGTTTGGTTTTTTTCTAAGCATATTACTGTGTAGACAAGGCTGGCCACAAACATGTAATCATCCTGTTGCCATCTCCTAGGTGCCAGGATTATAAACATGTACCACCACACAGATCATCTTATGGGATCATTGTTGTCATGTGCGCTGTCCATCATCTACCTGACTATCATGTACTGCAAGACTGCTCTTGCCACTGAAGCCACTTCAGTGGTATTGAGAGTGTGGTCCATGAACTAGTGCTGGCCCATGCACTCTTGTTTACTGACCAGCCTGTGAGGCAAGCACGGCCATTCAGAGCAAGCATATATACAGATCCTTTATAACAATTTGGCAGTCATTTTATGTCTATTCATTCTGGTAATCAAAACTGGGAGTTTATGTTTTGTAAGTCTCTTTGTTATTTCAGTTTTCTAGTAAATTGATGGCTCATCATTGGTCACTAGATCAGGCAAAAATCCCTATTATAGAGACATACATATATATCATATAAAACCAAACCAAAACAGATATACAGATATATATGTGTGTGTGTGTGTGTGTGTGTGTGTGTGTGTGTGTGTGTTTTGGTTTGGTTTTATATATATATATATATATATATATATATATATATATATATATATATATATATATATATATATAATGTTTCTTTCATGAGAAAATTAAACCCCATCTTGCACATTCTCACAAACATGGAAGAGCTTCTTAATTGAGTCTCTAGATCATCACAAATAAAATGCCATCAGAGGGGATAAGCACTCAGGAGCAAGCAACAGTCACTACGAGTTAAGGCCAGCCTAGTCCACGTAGGGACACTGACCTAATGGAACTGTGCCTTTATAAAAGGAGAGATCTGAGCAAGGACACTCACTCCTTTTCACCATGTGAGGCCCAAAAGCACCTCAGAGCTCTTCAGATCCCCCAGCAACAAAGAAATACCTTTCTGGAAGCTACCATCCAAGTCTGAATGTCCTAGGCTTCAGAACCATGAGCCAAATCAACCTCTTCCTTCCTGGGATCAGATAGGCCCATGGGAAATGGGCTAAGAACAAATGTAACAGCAGATGGTTCCATCAGGTCAGTGGAGACTCCCTGGTGGGGTCCCAGAAAATGAAGAAGTTAATTTCCTGTTGTACACACAGGAGTCTTTTCTAAGAGCAATGAGAAGCCACTGAGGAAAATGCCATGAGGTGGCGTGCTGGTGTCGACATGGGGTGCTGCATGCAGGCCTTGGGTGGTGAACATATATCTATCCCAGGATGAGGTCATGCCATTCCAGTTGGGTTCCCCTATGAGCCTATAAGCCCAATTAAGGGTAATTTACTTTAGAAAGATTACATTTTGACTTCCACCCCTCTGTGATTTAGCTCAAACTCAATTTTAAATTTAAG